GTCCAAATTCAAAAATCGTCCGTCTAGCCAATTGGGAAAATTATTGGGCTTGAGATAGGCAACCTACCCTATTTCTTATTTTAATTTCCATGTGTTTATAAAGAGATATATTTTTAAATGTTTGTTTTTTTATAATTTTGAGAAAGATTTTACAGTGTAACTTTTAGTATATTATTATATCCTTTGTTTTGGATAATTTGACTGTAAGAATGTAAAATTTTATCAATTAGCTTGTTTTGTATGAGTTTTTGATGATTCTGAAAAACGGTAGCATCTCTAAACCTCAGTACGGTTAGTAAAGTGAGTTAGTTTATGATTTTACACATTCTATGCATGTGAAATTGATGAAATTCTAGATACCTTGTATAAGTACTTGAAATGTTAAGCTTTTGATAAAATTAACACTTATTTACATACATGCTTTCAATTTCTTAGATATATATTGCATTTATCATGCCTTTAATGACATTTTGTAGCTATTTTGTGAAGAAAAAAAAGTACACTATAAAACTCTCTTATTGACCCCCCATGTGGATATATCGCTGTATAGGATTACTCTGATATATTCTAGCTCTGAGATGACACTGCTTTGTTTGGCTCTGCTCTGCACCTACTTCAGGCAGGTGGGAGGTGGAAATTAGGTTATAAGTGAGCATTAAGACATGTACTATGCATTCATTTTCATATGAAAGTTATTATATCCAACTATGAAGTAAATGATACTTTTACTCTTTTATTTATTTTTATTTTGAACAATGAATTGAACTTTATTATGAGGAAAAAGAGTGGCCTACTGAGTTTCATACTCACCCTATTGTTTATAATATGTCATGCAAGTGTAAGAGTTTTGCACAGTAGATTGAGTCTGATAGAAAGCATGAGGTCTAACTATAGAAATGCACGGATGCTTTTATAATTCAAATTATATTTTAGTTTTGTTGCAATTATTGTAATACGAACTATTATTATTTGACTATTTTGAAAGAAATATCTTGTGTATCCTCTCTGGATGTGTTTTTTTTTTTTTTTTTTTCCCTGGATTTTTTTTTTTTTTTTTTTTTTTGATAATTAGTTGGTTCCAGTGAAAAGATAAATTATATGAGAATTAGCAAGTAAATGAAAAAAGCATGTTTACATTCATCTTTTAGGTCTTAGAGTGTTACACTACCAAAGGTCTACTCATACCTACTAAGTTTCTAATTATCTACTAGGACCTATTCAAAGGGATAGCATTAAGCAATTTGTCTAATCGTAGAGTCTAAGTTCACATTGACCTAGTTTGGTCCTTTTGGGTCAAGCTAGAGTTCAAAGAGGTCCAACTTACTCTAATGATCAACTATGGTCAACTCATATATGATTCGATGATCTAAATACTATGTAAAAGATTTAGCTAGGATATAGGATTTTTCGATTCAAATTCACTAAATGAGTAAAAGGGTCTAGAGGGTATTTAGTTGATCTAACCACTAGTCAAAATTTAGCCCATAAGTTAATTTGATCAAATGATATCATGGTCAATTACATTGCACCAACAAGTAACTAAATAAGCGAGGAAGAAATAAAATGCTTACATGATGAATTGAGTCTACTATGACTAATGCAATATCCACTGGAACAATGTTCAGTTGCACACATTTTGACTCGATCAAATAAGCTGTGTTAAAACATCTGCATTATTCTTTGCAAGTGTTTGTGAGTATTCTTGCATGCAGGTGAATATCTAAAAATGTTCTGAAGTGGATCTTAAAGGTATGTGTGCATGAATAAGAAATCTAAAAGTTTTCCCTTTGCGACATTGTGGCAATGATCTCTCTACCTTTTTCAAAAAAAATACGAGGAACACTATGACGCTGGGTTGGGCTCCAATGCTATATAGTTAGGTGCCACATAATAAAATCCAAATTTTATAAAAATATTATTTTCCATTCAAATTTGCCAAACCATACCCCCATTTAAGTTGGCGCCTAGAGAGAGATAGGGAGATATTTTAGAGAGAGAAAACTAATTTTGGGTGACTTAGGTTCATTTTTAATTGTTGGCTTAGTTCGAGAAGTTGTCCAAATTGAGATAGATTACATTCTGTTTATCTCAATTTTCAAAAATAAAAAAATTAAAGAGTTTTTTTATTAAAATAATAATTTTGTAGTATAGAAACATGAACAATTTCATATCTGCTAAATTTTCATCGTTTAACTTTTTTATGTTGTAAATATGATCATTTTGAACATTTAGATATTTTTCTTGGGAATTTTTACTAGGTAAATAAAAAAGTGTGCTATTTTTATTAAATTAGAAAATAATTTTGATCTAAAAAAATAATATTATAGAATAGTTAAGGTTTTAAAACAGTATTTCGAACAATTCATGATAATCTAGTGAGATTTTGAAATAATAAAATTTTACTGGGTTGTTGAATTAATCGGCTGACAATCGATAAATTAAAGTATTATATGAATTTCTGAAAATGATTTATTTACATTTATTTTATTATAATGCAATTATATTTGTGTTTATTTACATGAAATATGTGATTCCGAGGAGATATGATGTTGACGTTTTATTAGCTAGAAGCAACTGAAGTTATAAGGGCCTGAATTTTTTATTTATGATGTGCTAAGCATTTGAGAGTCATAAGAGTATGTATTATGATATACTGGTACATAGAGTTATAAAGATATGAATTTTGATAGTTATTTATAATGGGAGGCATAAGGGCTTTAGATAATTCTATTATTTTATGCTATAATATATGAATTACTTGTTTAATTAATTTCAATGTAAAGCCAATTTAATTTCTATTATCTGTCTGCATTAACATGATCAATTCAATAGTTTGTTAATCAATTTTTCTAATTCAATTTATGCATTATGTGCTAATTATTAAAAACCTAATCGGTGGATGTGATCTGCTGAGCTTTGTTGACTCACAACTATTTTCTATTCTATTTCAGGCCAGAGAAAGAGAAAAGAGCTTAATAAGTAGCTGGAGATCCATGATTTGATCTTTTGAATTTGGTCTATCACCATTCAACACGAAATGACATGTTCTATCTTTGAGTCATATTAGATTAGGTTGGGACAACCAATTAGGGTTAAGCTTAGGAAGAAGACTCTATTTTAGGATCAGCTAAACTCAAACACATTTGATCAGAATTTGATTGAATTCAAAAAAAATATGGAATTTAGTAATTAAGGTTGAATTCAAAATAATGTGGAATTTAATGATTAAGGTATTATATTTCAATTTATAATATAATTTATATAATATATAATATTTTGGTTGATGCTATTTCCACTCATCCTAAATTTCGACTAAATTTTTTATTTAAAGTATAATAATCTTATTTTAAGATAACATGTCACATTAAATAATCTACTTTTAAAATATTATGTTTTTAATTGCTGATTTAATATCTTGCCATTTATAAAAATTTGAGACCATGTTATATTAAATATAATTTATGTTTAAAATTGTTTATTAATTATATTTATTTTATAATATTTCTTTCAAGATTATTTTATGAATTCTAATTCTTCATGCTGGAAAAAAAATCTAATGCAATAAAAAAGAAAATAAGATATAGAATATTAAAATAATTTTTTAAAATATTATTTACATTATATTTTCAATATTTAAATTTTCTATTTTTTTATATAACTATTTTTATATATATATATATATATATATATATATATTGTGATGTGATTTAAAAAATAAACTTATATATGTTGCGGGATAGAATATACGCGGCGGTAGAGTTAGAAAGTTTTCGTCTCAGTGTTGTATGCGATATCCAACACACAAACAGAAGATGAAAGAACACCAGAATTTTTACGCGGAAAATCTGAAAAGGGAAAAACCACGGGGCCACACCCAGTTGAAAAAATTCCACTAGTGTTTGCTTGAGGTACAGGAGGAAAGAACACCAGAATTTTTACGCGGAAAATCCTCAAAAGAGAAAAACCACAGGGCCACACCCAGTTGAAAGAATTCCACTAGTTTTTGCTTGAGGTACAAGAGGCTGACTCGTTCTTAAAATTTAGGATGATCAGAATACAATAATTCACTATCGAATTTAAATTCAGTTACTAACAATAATTTGAGATTCAACGACGTTGGGTATTCGAGCTGAATCCCAAAGTCACTTGGAGATCGGACAAAATTCCGGCGTCACTTGGAGATCGGGTGGAGTTTTGGCGTTACTTGAAAGACGAGCAGAACTTCGGCGTCACTTGAACGTCAGGCAGAACTCCGGCGGTGGTTGAGGAGGAGTTTATTCCCTCCTTCAATTCTTCTCTTATATTCTCCTTCTTCTTCTCACTTGGGTCTCTTCTTAAGAGAAATGACAAGCTGTTTATAGTTTTTTGAGGATGACATTACCCGTAAATAGGAGGAGGATCAAAGGCAAATGAGGAGTGGTTTGAATGGACAACCGATATTGAATCCCTTAATCATGGACCGTTCGTCAGACATTTGTAGGTCTTATTGATATCAGAATTCAACGAGCCCTTCAACGATCTTGGGCTCGTTGGATTCGTCTCGTCGAGCCGCTCGATTCTACTATAAGCATGTCATATTTGAAAAAGTTTGTTAATCCAAATTGTGGTTTGAACCTTCCAAAAGTGCTTCGGGTCTTTGATTCAAACCCATTTGTGCTCGGTTTGAGTTGAATTTGGTGTCGTCGAGTTCATATTTCTGAGACGCTCAGTTCGACTGTAAGTTTGCTGAAATCGTAGTTCAGATGATCCCATATTTAATTTTTGAAACTTCCAACCTGATTTTGCCTCAAGATTGGTGCCCGATCAAGCTAATTTTTTTTTGATGATATATGAATATGTATCATTAAAAAAATAGATACCGGATAAATCTACTAAATCTGCCCCCTACCTCATCGAAAAAAAAAAATAATAAATCTATTAAATTTTTTTTAATTATCTCCTGTACGGCAGTTATTTATTGTTTGGAGCCACTAGCCCACGCCTACTGAACTTGGTCAATACTCATTATACTCCCTCAAAACTTGAAGTCGCGCCACGTATCTCGCGAGGCCATGTGTGTCACCGTTCCCGCCTACTCCTGCTGCATCTGTCCACCAATTCGCCAGTTTTCAGGTTCTAGGGTTCCGCCACTACAGCCGGATTCCGACGGAGATGGATATTTTGCCCAAGTTCTTCTCGGAAGGTCGGCCTTCTAGTTGTTCGCTGCCATCCCCACTTAGAAATTTGTTGTGAATATGATGATTGAACCTTTGCAATTTTTTCGTACAACTAGTTTTTATTAACGGAAAGCGAAGTGGAAGAAGTGTAACCCTTTTGTTATCAGTTTATAACAGTGGCAATTAAGAAAAAAACAACATATAGATCGATTTGGGACAAACTTTTTTTTTTTTTGTGGTTTAAATTTCTTGATTTTGTGTCACAAAGCCTTGGAATATTGCAGTTATAATTGTTCGGAGGATGAACAATTTCAAGTTCTTATGTTTTTCTACTCATCTAAGGCATTTTTTATCAAATGCAATGCTCTGCTTTGCATGGACTAAAGTTTCTACTATGGGCGTTCTTTGGTCATCTATATATGCTATTTTGGATGTATACTTGATGTTTATTTGGTCCGCGTAATTGCTTTAATTTGAAAATGTCTTTACCGAAAGGGTTGCTTCACTGTTGTTGTAATCTTAGGTTTGTAGTTTTGTAGTTCTTTGGATTTTAAATTGATATTTGGCACCATTTTGCGAGTGTAGGTCGTTTGGGCTTTTTGGTTGTATTATTTTTTGGGGAAATTTGAGGCTTCTTGGTTGTAGTTATGCTGAACTTGCACCATCCATACTTGATTGAGCTTGGAAAGTATGTTTAATGAATGCTATTATTTGTTGAAACTTACAGACATGTTGCTTGATCATTCAAGTCTTAGCTGCAGGTTTTTGATTTGTGAGTATGGTTATATGTTGAGGTTTGCATCTAAAGTTGACCACCATCAAGGCTCAAATTGTTACTCCTAGTTTATCTTGCTTAGTTCTTTTAGTGGTGTCAAAGTTATTATTGCATAAGTAGAAATTATTATGCAGCATTGTTCATAAATTTATATTTTTGATGTTTTTGTATGTGTGCATATATATTAGTTGTCATTATGGTGTGTACACCTGAAGTTTCCTTGGCCAATACTAAGATCACTCTGCATGCTAAGGGACGCCATCCTATTGAAATCCACATAAGGAACTTGATCGAGCCGATCCAATCAAGGCATTCAGCTGCGTGTAAAGCCACTTATCCACCTGAGCATCCTCATCTATGCAACACTTAACTTAATATTATGCTTCTCTTTGAATGGCTAACATTTTGCACCATAAAGCATTGCAGGTTTAACCATCTTATAGAAATTTCCCTTAAGTTTGAGGGGGACTTTTCTATCACACAACAAGCCTGATGTATTTCTCCACTTCAATCATCCAACTTGAATTCTACTAATAATATTCCCATCTATTTCACCATCACTCTAAACAATAGACCCAATATCGAAAACATGGACTCTTATTAATGACTTGAGCACCCAAAGTCATAATCCCTCCAGTAGATCTATTATTACTTAAAGTACACTTCATATATTTAGTTTTAGTTCTACTCAAACGAAAGCTTTTCGACTCTAAGGTTGACCTCCATAATTCAAGTGAAGGAATGCATTCAAGTGATAAAATCTTTGTTTCATGAGATGTCATTGACCATGAAAATATTTATTCCTTCTTACTTTTAGCTGCAAGCTCACCTTCAATGGCTTCTGATTCAGTAATATGATGATGACAGCTTCACTCCATATGTTCCTTCCAACATGTAGTGTTTTTGCCTAACCATCTCTCTTAAGAAGAACTCCCTCCTCATTCCAATAATGAGGCTTCTTCTAATGATATTCCTTCCGTGTTTATATATTTACTGATCACTTGTTCCTCAACTTTCTGAACCTTTTACCTATTCTTATTTCATATGATAAAAAAAAAAAGATAGTTTATGACCCAAAATTTGTGCCTTAATAACTTCCTTTTCAGTTGAAAAATAACCATCCTCTTTTTCACAAACAATTTGTGATCCTAAATGGCGCCTCATTATGCAAAAGAAATTGCAGCTCGTGAAGGTAATTACACATGGTTTTTACATCCATGGCCTCTTGGAAAAGACCTATTGGGCACATATGGTTATACAAGGTTAAGCTCCGAATTATTTGTGAAATGATATAACATGTTAAAGGTTTATGTTGTAGACAGGCCTTTTCTCCTATTTCCAAGCCTGTACCTTCGTAATTAGTAAGAAGTAACAATTTTACAAATTTGCATATATTTCTCCCTTACCTATCAATGCTATTAGAAAAAATAAAAATTTTCATATTTATTTGATGAGAAATGTGAAATGAAAATAAAAGAAAGAAATAAGGATTCCCCTCAGAGATTAGATTTCGTTCCCTGTCTTACCTTTCATGAAAAAGGGAAAGATGAGTTGATCAATTCATCAGATCGGGATTGATGAGGCTCGAACCTACAGCTTCCGCCTTGACAGGGTTGTGCTCTGACTGACACATGGTTTTTACATCCATGGCCTCTTGTGAAATGACCTATTGGGCACATATGGGTATACAAGGTTAAGCTCCGAATTAGGTTGAAATGATATAAACATGTTGAAGGTTAGAGAACTTTTCTCCTATTTCCAAGCTTGTAATAGTTCACCTTCTACTTGTTGTGGCTTCAGCTCAACATTGACATCTTTCATCAACTCAATGTTATTAATACTTGCCTGATTGGAGACCTTGATGAAGATATTTACTTGTCCTTGTTTATTGGTTTTGATCGAAAGGGGGAAGCACGGGTTTGCAAGCTTCATAAATCATTGTATAACCTCAAATAATTTTCACATTAATAACTCATTAAACTCTTCATTGACTTTAAGCAGGACAACTACAGGCAATTTAAGTTAGATTATTCCTTGTTTGCTTGATCTCAAAACAGGAAACTAACTTTTCTCCTCATATATATAAATGATTTAATCACAGCAGGGTGCAATATACTAGATGTTGAAGACATGAAATTATTCCTATAGGATCAATTCAAACTAAAGAAGCTTGGAGAATTGAATCATTTCTTAGGCACATAGTTTACACAATCTAATAAAGGTATTGCTCTTTCAAAATGAAAATATAATCTTGAGATTCTGGAAGATGCATGATACTTTGTTACAAAACCATTTTCTTGTCTCGGAGCAAAACTTATCGCTCAGTAAGTTTTATGGCAGCTATATTTTGCATTTTTAATTTTTAAACTTATATTTTTTTAGTTATCCATTTCACAGTATAGGTTCATTGGGTGGTTAATTTATTTGATAATTAAACAGCCCAACTTGGCCCATGCAATCCATTTTTTAAGCCAATCTATCTTCAAACCAAGAGGACCACATTTAGATGCAAATCATCGTGTCTTATGATATGTGAAACAAATAATAGGACAATGAAAACTTCTTCCGAAAAGTTCAGTTCAACTAAATGCTTGATGCAAATTTGGCAAGGCGTTGTAACCTTCAAAAGCCATTTATTTAGTATTGCATTTTGTTTGATAGCTGATTAATTTCTTTTAATACCAAGAAGTAACCACTATATCATGGTCCAATGTAGAAGCCATGTGACCGTTTATGGTTAACATCTATTGTGAGATCATCTGGTTAAAAATAATTCTATAATATTTGGGCATCAAACATTCTCATCATGTTAATTTATATTGTGATAACATGCAATGCTCCATATTGCTTCAATCCCAATCTATCATGAATGAATAAATAATATAAAACTTGACTGTCACCTTATAGGAGAAAAGTTGAAGAAGGAATGATCAATATGACATGTACTCACAGCTAGCCAGCCAGTGGACATTTTTAACAAACCATTGTATTCTTCACAATTCTCGGCTCTTCTCAACAAGTTAGGAATCATAACATTCATTCTATACGTGACGAGCGTTAAGAATTGTCAACTCTACCATACGCAAATTATGGGATTACCTTCTATTTCATAATGGTTAACATTTGTTGATTCCCTTTTTGTCTTTTTTTTTTCCTATATAGAAATAATAAGGCATTTATAGTATATTCTTTAATTCAGAATCCCAATTGATTCCTTCATTGCCTATACTGTCAAGTGTAATCTGAATACTGTAATGCATAAATTTGTTTTTTTTTTCAGGAGGCTTTTCTGGAGTGGAATTCAATGACATTTCCAACTTCGAAGTAGTGTACAGGAACCTTCATACTCCAGCTGTTATTATTGGAGGAATATTTGCACTGATTGCGCTAATCATCTCTCTCTTGCTGATATTCGAACATCTTAGATCATACAGTAATCCTGATGTAAGTTCTCTTTTTCTCTGAAATTTATTCTTTTAAATAAAAAATTAAAAGGTAATCATCACTATTGCAATCCCACATGGAGGTTCGTTTCCCACTGGAAAGCATTGACCAACAGTGTTGGAATTGCATTTAAATCAATTTTTTGCACCCCTACATGCACGGGTGTGTATATACTAAACATTTTCATTATAACTCCTTGTGTTATTGTGCCATTTTTTTATACTTCTTTTTAAAATATTTTCTCAAACTAATGAACGTTTTCTATCACATGTAACATTTAGATTGTGTCACGATTGGTTTTAGGCTATGCTTTTCATGCATCATTGTTTTCCTTGTGAAGTAATTGTTAATATAATGTTGCGCCATTTTAGTTTTTTCATTTACTTGTATTTTTGTTTATGTTAATAAAAATTAAAAGGTAATCATGCTCTTGGCGCCATTTTGTTTTTTCATTTTACATAACCATTTAGCTTGTTAGAAAATTAGAGTGGTACTGGCATGCCTTACACCAATCCGATGGGCTTTGGTATATTTCAGGAACAGAAGTGGATAATAGGCGTCTTGTTCATGGTCCCTGTCTATTCCAGTGAATCTGTGAGTGATTTTCTTCACCATATTCAGCTGAACCTTATAATCTCCATTCATGATATTAAAAGCTCTACTACATCTTTCATAATGTTCTAATTAGCTGTTGTAGTTGATAACCATTTTCTTGTAGAAGAGCTTAATCATAGAGATATCAAAATTTTCTTGAATGCTGCTTTTTCTCTATATTCTAGATTGTTTCTTTTTTAATCCCTCTTTCAAAATGCTGTTTATGGTCATTAACTAACCTTTGTAGGCCCAACTCGCTCAATCGATAATTTATATTTCTGTATTGATTCTGAAGTTTAAGAAGTCAATCACCAAGTTTTTTTGCATATTATGTGAATTTTAGAGTCAGCTATAGATGGGGGATTTGATGAAGTTCGTCTTCTTCAACTGTAACCTGCAATCAAATCAAACCAGAGAAAGCATAGAAGCTTAGCAGATAATAAGTGTTACTGTTCATCTTCTTTCTCTAATGCTAACAGGCAATACGTCAGTTTGATATAAAGGGCCAGTTAGTTAGAAACTAACGACAGGGATCAAAGAGCAGGAAATAGACTGTGAAGATGAAACAGGTACAGCTGAATAATAGAGAGGTGGAGCAGGCAAATGGATAGGCAAGCCAACTTATGTAGAAGCAAGCAGGTCTTTATCAATTCTCCTTATCAGCTCCCCTCAAGCTAACAGTAGAGGACTGTAGTGTTAGCTTGTCACATAGATAAGATGCCTTCGAGCACTCAAAGCCTTGGTGAAAAGATCTGATCTTGTGAGCAGATATGTAGAACCTGTATATGACGATCCCGAATATAGTTCCTTATGAAGTGAAAATCTATCATGCCTTGTGAGCAGATATGTTTTGTTCGGGCATGAAAAACTTGGTTATTGGCTAAAGAAAGAGCTGAAACATTATCACAATAAAGATTGGTAGGCTCAATAGACTGAATTTGGAATTCAGAGAGAAGTCGTCTTAGCCAAATTAAATCACATGCTGCAGTGGAAACTGGAAAGAGCTCTATACTTTGCTTCCGTGGAGGAACGTGCTACTGACGTTTGTTTTTTTACAGTCCAAGAGATTAGATTAGTGCCTAGAAAGGCACAATAGCCAGTAAACGAGCGACGAGTGATGGGATCAGTAGCCCAATATGAGTCTGCAAAACCTTGAAGAACAAGTGTTGATGAATTAATGGATAGCCCGAGAAAGAGAGTGCCTTTGACATACCTGAGTATCCGTTTTAAGAGCTTATGATGTATTTGAAGTGGGTTGTGCATATGTTGGCACAAAAAAATGACTGCATATGAGAGATCAGGACGGGTAATAATCAGGTATTGTAGAGCTCCTGTAAGTTGGCGATAATGCTCTGGGTTTTCATATGGAGTATCATTTGAAGAGATAGCCGCAAAATTGGTTGGTAGTGGTGTAAGCAAAGGTTTGCAATTGTCCATTGCAGCCCGATGAAGTAAATCTGCAGCATATTTGGATTGAGCCAAGTGAATGTCGTGAGCTGTATATCTTACTTGTAATCCCATAAAGTGATGCAATCGGCTAAGATTGTGTATGGAGAATTTGACATGTAAGGCAGCCAATAGTTTGTCAATTGCTGACGTTGAATTTCCTGTGATCAAAATATCATCTACATACACTAAGATGTATATTTGATCAGAATTGTGCTGAAACAATAGCAAGGAGGGGCCGGCTATGCTGGTTCGAAAACCATATTGATGCGGATATGATGAAAAAGTGGAGAACCATTGTCTAGGCTCTTGCTTAAGTCCATAAATAGCCTTTTTCAAAAGGCAAATATGATTGGGAAATTGAGAATCAGTGAAACCGACTGTGCATGCTTCATGTAGACTCTCTTGAAGGGGTCCATGTAGGAACGCATTGGAGACATCTAGCTGTAATATTGCCCATTGTTTTGTGACAACAATTGTTAAAAAAATTCGAATGGTAGAGAATTTTGCTACTAGACTGAAGGTTTCATGGTAATCTAAACCTTGTTCTTGCTTGAAACCTTGTGCGATTAGGCGAGCCTTGTATCGAGCAATGATACTATTCGAGTTATATTTGATTTTGTAGATCCATTTACAACCTAAAATGTTTGTTGCTGAGTTTGGTGGGACAAGTATCCATGTACCTTGTTTTTGAAGTGCATCAAATTCTTGGCTCATGGCATCACACCAAAGAGCATGCTGGTATGCTTGGGTAAATCCGGACAGATTTGTTGGGATAATAGTGTGTTGTAGGTCAAGGATTTGTTTTGGCTTAAGATGATCGGTCTATGCCCCTGTGACCATGGTATGCCAAGAAGGAGGCAAGATTTGAGTTGGAATGGTTGCTGCTGTGGGGCTCGAGGATGATACATAGTTTTAGGGAGAGGATAGCTGTTGAACAGAGACTTGATTATTGGGAGTCGTGGAGATAGTAGGAAATGTGTCTGGTAAGGATGTGGGCTGATTTTGTGAAATAGTATAGATAGGAATTGAGGTTGCTGGAATAAAGATATGTGAAGGTGGTTTGATTGGAGTAGAAACTGTTGTTGAGTTAGACTGGAAAGGAAAAATTGTCTCATGAAAATGAACATGACGAGATGTGTAGACACGATAAGTATTAAGGTCTAGACATTTATAGCCTTTAGAATTAGAGGCATATCCAAGGAAGACACACGGAGTAGAATGTGGTGCTAATTTATGAGAGAGATTGGTGGAGAGCCAGGGATGGCATAGACATCCAAAAATTCGAAGATGAGTATAATTTGGGGACGTGTTATATAAGAGCTCATATGGAGATAGATTTTGAGTATTAGGAGAAGGGAAGCGATTGATAAGATAAATAGCTGTAAGAAGAGCATCTAACCATAATTTTTGAGGTACATGAGCAGTAAGCAGAAGAGCTCGCACGGTGTCAAGCAAGTGTCTATGCTTTCGTTCAGCAACCTCATTTTGTTGGGGGGTGTAGGGGCAGGAAATCTGATGAATGATGTCAGATTTAAGAAGATTTTGAAAGATTTTGTTGACATATTCTCCTCCAGCGTTAGTTCTTAATATTTTTATAGAATGTTGAAATTGTTTTTCCACAAGAGCTTGAAAATGCAAGAATTTTGAGTACACCTCTGATTTATGTCGTAAGGGATAGATCCATGAGTAACGACTATAATCATCAATAGACACAACATAATAAAGATAAGCTTGCATTGATGGAGTTGGAGAATGTCCCCAAATATCATTATGAATAAGTTCTAAGCATTGACTTGTAGTAGTACTTGACAAAGAGAAAGGTAACCTAGTACATTTTACTTGAGAACAAGCATTACAATGTAGATTGCTAAAACTCGGACTAAAAGATAGTAAGGACCATAGACGTTGCTGACTGGAAGTAGAAGGGTGACCAAGCCTCTGATGCCAGATGGAGTTGGGTGCAGAGGAGACGGCTAAAGCTGTGATGGAAGGAGCCGAATGCGATTGGAGCTTAATTGGGTAAAGACCATGCCGTTTGGGTCCTTGGAAAAGTGTCTTGTTAGTCCGGGAGTCCTTGATAGCAAAACCATGGGCATCAATTAGTGCAAAACACGAGTTATCATTGGTGAGTTTATGTATGGAAAGTAAATTATGAGAGAGATGGGGAACATGTAGAACATGAGGTAAGTGGAGCTTACGATAGGGGGTGGGAAGCAAACCTTGACCAGTATTGGCAATTGGTAAATGCTGACCATTGCCTACTTGTACTTGAGAGGAACCTGTATAGTTCTATATATTGTTTAGTTGAGCCAGGTTGGATGTGAGGTGCTCTGTTGCACCGGAATCTAAGTACCAGTCAGCTGATGGGGGGTGGGGGGGGGGGGGGGGGGGGGGGGGGGGGGGGGGGGTGTCTGTAGTGATGTAAGCTTGCGGTGATGCATTATAGGATGTATCATGCCTATACCAGCAATGACTTGCTGAATGTCTAGTTTTTCCACAGATTTGACAGTCTATAAGAGAACGATTTCGACAACCTCGACGAGCAGAGGAGGAACCGCGACCAGAAGAGGAGCGAGCATAACCGCGTCCTGTAGTTGAACGTCCAGGAGACGAGCGACCGTGGTAATTTGCAGGAAAGGAGCCGCGATACTACGACGAGCCACGGGTAGCTGTAAGAGCGAAAATGGGATCTGCAGTAGAATTGGCAATGTTGTCACGATGAGCTTCAGCAGTGATGTGAAGTTCTTCACTGCACAGCAGAGCATAGAAATCATCCAAGGAAATCGGTTGAAGCTGATTGTGGATAATGGCTTTAAAGGAGTTATAAGTAGATGTCAGGCCATTAATAGTATAAAGAATAACATCTTCAACGTCAATAGATGACCCTGCAGCAGCAATAGCATCAACCTTGGCCTTGATGTCGGAGAGATAGGCAAACATTGTTTTGTCATCGAGCTGCAGTTGGTGTAATTCATTTTTAATCTGAAGAAGTCTGGAACGGTTTGTAGATTGGAGCCGAAGCTCCAGTGTTGTCCAAATATCATGAGTTGAAGACAAATTTAAGATATACGGTAAAAGGGATGGTGATACAGTTGAGTAGATTGCAGAGGCAAGATGCTGATCGATGAGCATCTAGAGTTGAAACGAAGGGTTTTGTATAGATGATCCATCAACAGATGTGATCTCTTTCGGTGGTTTGACGGCAGCACCAGTAAGATACCCTTCGAAGTTGTTGGACGCAAATAGCTTCAAGAGCTGCGATTTCCACAATAGATGATTGTCAGTGGTTAACTGGACTGTTACCATGGTTTTGACATTCACCATGAAGAATTTTAGCTGTGGTGGTATAGGTATGGTCTGAGATGTAGCGGCAGTGTCGGGAAGAACAGTAGACGGAGAGGAGGTTGACGAGGCGGAGGCAGCCATTGTAGAAGAAAAAAAATCAACCTAGAGCTCTGATACCATGATGAAGTTCGTCTTTTTCAACTGTAACCTGCAATCAAAATCAAACTAGAGAAGCATAGAAGCATAGCAGAGAATAAGTGTTACTGTTCATCTTCTTTCTCTAATGCTAACAGGCAATACATCAGTTCGATGTAAAAGACCGGTTAGGTAGAAACTAACGGCAGGGATCAAAGTGCAGGAAATAGATGGTGAAGATGCAACAGGTACAGCCGAATAACAGAGAGGTGGAGCAGGCAAATGGATAGGCAAGCCGACTTATGTATAAGCAAGCAGGTCTTTATCAATTCTCCTTATCAGGATTTTCCCGGTCCCATGCAGGTAATAAGAATTGTGTGCTTTAACCAGCATTTTTCTATTTCTTGCAGGTAGACTTGCACATCAGGTTCCTCATTGCTGGGCTGTGTGATATTAGATGGTCATGTGACTGGTGTGAGCTGTATTCTTTCTCACCACAAGATTTCTGTCTCATCCATGTCGTGTATTATTCACTAGTTGCTTCTTAGAGAAGCTGATGGATGATTTGAAAAGACAAAAAAATGTCTGCAACATAATTTAATTAGAATATTTAATGAAGGATTCACACTGAGAAGATATTCAGGAGGCATTAAGATTTGACATTGTCAGTGAGTTTGGAGCCTCTTAACGCTTTTTTCATGTGAAAAAAAATGCATACAAATTGCTGACCTCCATTTGAATGCCGCAATATTGATATAAGATTGAGCCTAGATTTTGGTCATTTGACCCATTTTGCAGTCTAAGAGGGGGTGCATATCAATGCGTTTGAGAGTGATTGTGAATTGGCTAATCACCATCCATGCAAAAGGTCTTGAATGTAACCTAAAATCACAAAAAAAAAAAGAAGCAAATGAATGGCAAATAAGGGAGTTAATCATTCATCGAACTTCTGAAAAATATAATGATAGTTGATCAACTTATCAAAGCTATTTTAAATTTCAAGATTTCCCTCAATCAAAATCATCCAATGCATGCATGATATCATCAAGAACCCTATATTTTTTTTCAAACTATTTGAAAGTCTGCGTTTTGAAACCACAATTATCTTATCATGCAATCAAAACATCTATTAAAAATTTGATGCATATGCAGATATTATCCTAATTATGGTTGTTTAATTTGATTAATTAAAAATTTGATGCATATTCATTAAAAACTTGATTAATTAAGTTAATTGTGCAAGTTTATGACATTTAAACCAAGGAACGGTTTTCTGCGATGCATATGCAGATATTGTCCTAATTATGGTTGTTTAAAGAGGGTAAAAGTGTTTATGTAGTTTTTAGCATTAATCCATATTATTGTCAAGTAAAATTTGGTGAGCTTTATAACACTTTTAAACTGTTTAATCTCTGACATGATATATTTTTTAGTTTTATGTTGCACACATGCATCTCAGTTATTCTTTATCATCCGATATTTTAACTGCTTATCATGCTTAAAACAATTCTTCCTTGTAAATTCTTTATCTTGTGTCTCTTCAGGTATTCTCTTTATGGAAAGCAAGATTTTCGATAATATGTGACATATTAAGGAACTGCTATGAAGCATTTGCTTTGTATGCTTTTGGAAGTTACTTGGTTGCCTGCCTTGGTACTCACACTCCTACATCTCTGTGATCACCTATTGAAGGGATGTTATCAAGTTTTTATTGTGTTAATTTAAACTCTCTTTCTCTCTCTTTCTCTCCCTCCCTCCCTCATTCTTTTTTTCTCTTTCTTGTATTTACTTAAGTCTTCAAACTTTTATATATGTATGTATATGGATGTTTATCCCTCTGCCTGTATATATAAGTAGTACTAAGTGCATGCATGTGAGCGTTTGCATGTTGTTCTTTTACTTTCAGGCTTCAGCATATGTGATGTCTTGATTATCCCGTCTTCAGATTTAGTTTAGTTTTCCAAAAGGTGCATATAGTTTTACTGAATGTTCTTTATCTAAGACTGCAAAGCCAGTTGGCTGTTGTAACATTCTCTTAACTGATTATGCCCTATTAACACTGATGATGGCAAAACTATTGATACAGGGGGTGAAGAAAGAGTTATGGAACTGCTTGAGAAAGGAACAAGTAAACAACAGCTCACAGAGCAGTTGCTCAAGGGAGATGAGGAGAAAGGAATATTGCATCGTAGTTCTTTTTATGATTTTTTCTTCAATCCAACTGTTCTTGGAAAGGATTTATACCCAATAGTAAAGTTTGGCCTTGTACAATATGTAAGTTGGAAGAACATTAATTCTTTGTGTTTATATTCTTTTGCGTCGTCTAACATTTATTGCAAATGCAGATGATTCTGAAAACATTATGTTCCTTCTTGGCGCTGTTGTTGGAGCTTTTTGGTGTTTATGGAGATGGGGAGTTCAAGTGGTATAAAGGGTATGCATACATGTTTATATATATTTTTCTGCTTTCTTTTTCAGTGCCTGTGCATCAGAACTTGAGCAATTTCCTACAGGTACCCGTATATTGCTGTTGTCATAAACTTCAGTCAAATGTGGGCATTATATTGTCTTGTGCAGTTCTATAATGTGACTTATCATTGGTTGGAACATATCCATCCGTTAGCAAAATTTATTAGCTTTAAAGCTATTGTGTTTGCTACCTGGTGGCAAGGTGTTGGCATTGCAATGATATGTTACTTTGGTGTATTGCCGAAGGAAGAAAAGATTCAGAACGGTATCCAAGATTTTCTTATCTGCATCGAAGTAAGTTACCTATCAATGTCTTAAATTAGCAGACAGTTTAGATTTGGCTTTCTAAAATTTGTCATGAATTTGTTATTCTAAATTTATGTCTATGAATTCAAATATGTGATGGAATTTATTGAAATTGACCTGTATGCCTTTATTCTTTCTAATCTCAGCCAAATAATGAAAAATAGCCATTGCTTGTGAGGATAGATTTTTTATTTTAAGTTCATGACTGTATTTTCATTCATCTGGTCATTGCAGATGGCTGTTGCAGCTATTGCACATATATATGTATTTCCAGCGAAACCATACCAATTTATGCGGGTTTCTCCACATGGAAAGGTCACTTCCATGCAAACAATAGCCAAAGCTAACTTAGAGGATCATGAGAAGAAGCCAGCTATTGTGGAACATAAGAAAGCATGCGTTGAACCTCCAGGCACCAGCATTACTAAAAGTGTTCAGGATGTGGTTATTGGAGGAGGTGAACATGTAAGCGCTCCCTTGTATAAATTCTTTCCAACTGATTCTAAAGAATTCCTATTACTTGGATTTCATATGCTTATTACTGCCGTAAAGTCCCAAGAGTTAATTATTTCTTCAAGCAAACTTTATTCTGACATTTAGTTTGTTGTTGGTGAGGTGAACATGTAAGCTCTCCTTCCTTTTCTTTTTCATTCTTTTCAATTGAGTTGAAGCATTTCCATTACTTGGAGTTCATGTGCTTATTGCTGCTTTGATTTCCTTTAGTAATTGCCTTAAAGAAAAATTTCTGATAACATTTGGCTTGTTGTACTTCGTTAATGTGATTCTTGATTATTAATTCATCATGATAAAAATTGTAGAAAAGTAGAAAAAGCATTTTTAAATTTTATTGCTTGATTATTTACAATACAACAACAACAACATCAAATTTTTATTTTAATGTGGGGTCGGCTACATGAATTTTTTTCTCCATTTTGTCATGATAGGAGTCAAATTCTCATTTAAATCTAATAAAAAAATGTCATATCTAATATTTTCTAACCAAGTCTTTTTAGATTTTTAAATTTTATTGCTTGATTATTTACAATACAACAACAACAACATCAAATTTTTATTTTAATGTGGGGTCGGCTACATGAATTTTTTTCTCCATTTTGTCATGATAGGAGTCAAATTCTCATTTAAATCTAATTCTAACCAAGTATTTTTAGGTCCACCTCTACCTTTTTTAACATAGGCCAAATCCAATACATCTACTCTCCTAATTGGATCATCGAAAGACCGACGTTTTATACTTTTATGTGACCTAACCATCTCAGATGACTCTCTCTAATCTTATCTGTCACACGAGCTACTCCAACCTTTTCACGTGTAGACTCGTTTCACATTCTATTTCTAAGAATGAAGCCACTCATTCACCTAAGTATCCTCATCTCTGCAGAACTTAACTTGATATTATGCTTCGCTTTTAATAGCCAACATTCTGCACCGTAAATCATTGTAGGTCTCACCACCATCTTATAGAATTTTCCCAGAAGTTTGAGAGGTACTTTTCTATAACACAACAAGCCTGATGCATTTCTCCACCTCAACTAACCAACTTGAATTCTACTAAGAATATCTCTATCTATTTCACCATCATTTTGAACAACATACATGAGATATCTAAAACATGTACTCTTATTAATGACTTGATCTCCCAAAGTTACAATCCCCCCACATGATCTATTACTGCTAAAATTACACTCCATATTTTGGTTTTAGATCTACTCAAACAAAAACCTACTCTAAGGTTGACCTCCATAAATCAAGTTTACCTTTAACTCCCTCTCTAGTCTTATCAACAATAAGAATATCATCCGCAAAAAAATATAGACTAGGGTATATCCTCTTGCAAATGTCTAGTAAGACATCCATGACTAAAGCAAAAAGATATGAGCTTAAAGCTGATCCTTGATATAATGTAAATGAAATATGAAAATACTTGTTCAAACCACCTCGTGTTTGAAGTAATAGCTCTTACATACATATCTTTAATGATTTGAATAAAAATATTATTAACCCCTTTCCTTTTTAGAACTCTCCAGAGCACTTATCTTTGAACTCTATCATATGCTTTCTCTAAATCAATAAATATCATATGTATATCCTCCTTATTCTCTCTATACTTCCCCATCAAACCTCTTAATAAATGTATAGCTTCCATAGTAGACCTACCAAGCATGAATCCAAATTGATTTTGAGAAATATTAGTATTACGTCATAACCTATGCTCAATAACTCTCTCCCAAAGTTTTAAAGTTTGATGCATTAACTTAATTCATCTATAATTCATACATTCTTGTGCATCACTTTTATTCTTAAATATGTGAAACAATACTCCTATCAATCTGAGATCTTTTTAATTTTTAAAATAATACTAAAAATTTCATAAGCCAAGAAATTCCTTCATCCCTTCCAAGAAATTCTTTCATCACTTAAGCATTTCCACATTTCTATTGGAATATCATTAGGTCCAACAACTTTCACATTTCATTTTCTTGATAGTTTCTCTAACATTGGTTTTACTAACATGCTGATAAAAACAAAAATCTGTGTTTTCATTTAGGGTGCTAAGGTTACTAAAGTTAATTATATTCTCACAATCTTTATTGAAAAGCTGATCAAAATATCTCATCCATCATTGTTGAATATCCTCTTCTAATAAGAGCACTTTTTTATCTTCATCTTTAATGCATTTCACTTGAACTAATTCTTACTTCTCATATCTCTTCGCTTGACAAACTTATACATATAGCTTTCACCATCTTTAGTATCTAATATATTATATAAATCATTAAAAGCTAAATTCTTTGCATAATAAATTGCTTTCTTAGTCTACTTATGAGTCTCTTTATATTTTTTCCGATTTTTTGAGCTTTTTTACTCAAACTAATTTCTATAATAAAGCTTCTTATTTTTTATTTTTTCTTACACATTTTGATTCTACCACCTACCATTATCACTATTAGGATCTTTTCCTTTTGATATTTCAAGCACATCCTTTGCAACATTTTTAATATCACTAACTACTCTTTACCACAATATTTAAAATCATTTTTAGAAAAAAATAGCATGATGATGTTTAAAAATTTCACAAATCAACAACAATATCAAGCCTTCATCCCAACACATAGGGTCGGCAATATGAATACTTTTGCTCCATTGTGTCATCTTAAGAGTCAAATTCCATTTCATGCAATAAACGTTTTTCATGTTTACATTTTTAGAAAGAAGGAAATTATTTTGGAGGGATAGCCTAGTCTATAATGATGTTCTCAAATAACTTTTATATTGAGGGTGAAAATGAAAGAGCATGATAAGTGATTTTCATTTTTCAAGAAGGCGTAGCCCCTCACTTTTCTCTACCTTATGCAAATGTTTTCCCATATTGAGGTCCTAAAATATGCAATGATTAGCAAAAAAGGTTATTATGTAGTTGTGGATTTTAGTGGTTTTATGACTTGATAGAAAATTTACTATAATATGAGAAATATATAGTACATTAATAAGAATATGTGGAGGAAATTGAAATATTTCCTTGATCTACAATAATTGTTAGTGATTCATTGACCACTTTTATTTTATCATTGTTGGGGCAGAGTTTGTAGGTTTGAAAAATGTTGGCAAGGTTGGTCATGTGGTAAGTGGCTTCGTAATTTAGGATCTAGGTGTGAAGGGAATTATTTAAGGCATTGAAATACAAAAGTTAGAAGGCATGCCATTTTGAGCTAGAGAGCGTGATCTGGTTGATTTTTCTTATGTGTTAGAGGAATTTCTTGAGTATATCCATTTCTTCTGGATTGAACTCTTCTGATTCCACAAGGCAAGTTTCCTTTTTTGGTGATCTTCTTTATTTTCAGCATAACCTAGGAGCTTTTCATTGGAGTTTTTCATATTTTTTTGTCCTTCTTATGGTAGTTGCACCATAGATTATTTTAGGGTTTAAGTTTTTGCCCTTCTTTAAGGAAATAGTCGGTAGCAGTAAGTCCCTTAGGATTCGGCGGTTTTGGAGATCGAAGCATCGAGCATTATCGTCCTTTTTTCCTTGGGCTCATATGAGAGAAAAATTGCATTCAGTGATGGTAGATTTTCTTTGTTTAAGATTTTGATATAACTCGGTCAAAGTAATTATTGAGTCCGGCAAGGAACTCAAACACCTTTTCTCTTTCTACAAATTGCTTGAGAATTATAACATCATTATAGCATTTGCATGTTTACATCTTGATAATAATCTAATTTAAGCCAATTAACTATCATTACATTAAAAATACTAAATAATAGGATGATTATTTTGCTTGGTTGTTGAAATTTTAGTTTTAATCTCTTAGATGTAGGTATTATACTTCACTTTTGAGTATGTTTATTTGATGATATCCCAAACTTTTTTATGGCAAAGAGGAATATATATGACTCATTGATTTCAAATATTATGGTATTCCACAACCATGTCATGATCATGACTTCCACTTCACCCCAAAGTACAACTTTTGAGTATTTGGACTTTGGAGAAGGATTCACAAGATAATTGATCATCTCTTTCCTTTCAGAAAGGTGTTTATAATTTGGGTTTATTTTATATAATTTGTCTTATTTAGGCAATATGAGGCTTGTAGCTCTTAGAGTTCTTTTTCAGTCTAATTTTCACCATTTATGATGTTCAACTCATTAGAAGGGGCTACCCCTCAACGTTTTGTGTAGGCCTTTGGGACTTGGTAGTTAAAGAAATCAATCATAATGAAGAAAATGAAGAATCTTACCAAGGAGAAAACAAAAAAAAAAATAAAGTTTGAAAGATTGAAACCCTAAGATTGCTTTGATACCATATAAAAAGTTGAAAAGTAAAAAAAATGAATTTAATTGCTTGATGATATGAAGTGTTTAAGTATTTACAAACTTCTCCAAAGTTTATGCAATGAAAATAAATTAAAGTTAAAAAAAAAAACAAAAACAAAAAATCCCAAGAGAGGCCATTGACTAGAATAACAAGAGGAGGCACGTGGACTGTAATCTAAGGTCATAATAGGATCGATCTAAGATCGATCTAACTGTTAGAATTCTTAATCCGCATGCTCAAAGATGTATGTCAAATTTGGTTGACTTTTGGGTCCCTCGATCCTTCAACATAAACTATATAGTTTCATAGCATGCACGATGGAACTATGCCAATAGAAATTGAATAAAAATTGTGTGAGAACATCCTGATTAAAATTTGGTCATGATGGGTTTTACAAAATTTTGATTTGCATTGAGATGAGTTCAATATTAGGGTTGATTTATTGTTCATTTATTGTATTCTTCTCAAAGAAAATCTAAGAGTTTTAAAACTCATCTTGATCAAATTTTTCTTGATACATGTAGCTTTCATAGGCCTCAATATACAGCAGGACAAGTATTGGCATGGAAGTTAGCATTCATCCACCAATCATCCATTCACCTTATCTGCTCACGTGCCTCTCCCACTAACTGTAGTTATAATTGACATCCAATCTGGAGAGTGATATTTGTATTAGAAGATTTGAATTTGGTCACTTGATTGGCTACCATGAAGTATAAGGATAGGGGCGATTGTTTCCCATCATTCACTAACTTCAACCAGAAACAATTCTATTACATTAAGGTTTTATTTAGGATAGCTTTCTTATTGCTTCTTAAAGCAGCTTCCTAGTATAAAAATTAAAATTTTTGTACGAGGAAGTTGTTTTAAGAAGCAGTAAGAAAGCAGTCCCAAACGAAGCCTAACTTTATGCACAAACTTTGCATCTAATTATGATTGGAATAAGCTTTGGAAAAGACAACATTTCTCGCAGTATAAAAAATTCTGGAATGCTGGACTTTGCAGCTTGAAATTCTGGACTAGTCAATTTCTATCAGTATAAAAACTAATCAATTTCTTTTTATTGTTGCTTTGGCAATAAAACAGGTTGCCAGGGATGTGTCATTGACCATATCACAGGCAATCATGCCTGTAGAGAAGGGCGTCCACTTAATACAGGAGAGTTTCCATCACTTATCACTGGGCTCTATGAAGGAAGAGGGTGAAGCAAAGATTAAGGTAAAAGGACATGTCATGAAGAATGTGGAAGATGATGAGACTAAATTGGTCAGCTCAGCTGAAATTGTTACTGAAAACAGTGATAGATAAATATGAAAACTAAGTGCTCCAGTCACCCTTTAGTTGTTAGATGGCTAACATTCCTAGAGTATTTTCCAAATCAGAAATTTACTAACTTTTACTGCAAACTTTGCATTCCAATTAGTTCATAGTAGTTATATCCAACTAGTATTCCGTCAGGAGTTCATGAATCAAATGGAAAGCATTGCCCGGTCATTTTGGCTTTGTTTGGGATGGCTTTCTTATTGCTTTTTAAAACAGTTTTCTAAAAAGCTGTTTTAGAAAATAGTATGAAAGTTGTTCCAAATGAAGCCTTTGATGATCACAAGGATTCTTGAGCCATGAATCATTTTAGAATTCCCATTATATCGTATGTGCTAGTCTTTTGTAGGTTGCAGTCAGTTTGATCATGTCCAACTCTGCACTTTAAGAGAGGAGTAATTATTCCGTCAGTTTACCGAATGCATCCAGAAACCAATAACAAAACGCCACGTCACTAAAGTGCTCGGTACAATACACTCGGTATGCTCGGTATTGCTTGGTATTTTCACCTAATGTCGGTTGGGCTCTTTTAGATTTTGGTAGTTTATTTGTTGATCATTTGTTATGAATAGGAATGTTGTTTTTTGATAAATTTTAGTTGTTTTTATTGCATTTACTATGTTTAAGAAAATGCCTAAATTGGGATGAAGGTAATATTGGGTGCTGTAACAAGAAGGAAAATATGGGTGTCCACAGTGTACAATGTTAAAGGTCAGTCTGTCGTTTAAAACTTATGCTGCAGCTTGTTGCAATTTCATTAATTACTGTACTATAAGGTTTTGTTTAGTACAGTTTTTTTTTTCTGCTTCTTGAAGCAGCTTTTTAGTACAAAAATTTTATTTTTTATACTAAAAAGCTGCTTCAAGCAGCAGTAAAAAAAAACGTCCCAAATGAAGCTTCGTTTGGAACAACTTTCTAGGCTTTGTTTGGGACGACTTTCTAACTACTTAAAGTAGTATTCTTATAAAAAATTTTAATTTTTGTATTATATATGAGAAACCCTTGGAATCAAGTAAAAATTTTGTCATTTGTTCCTCAAACAGTTGTATCTCTTGCTCTGAAGATGATCGCATTGCTCGTTCTCATATACACTAATACACTTTCTAGGCTTTGTTTGGGACGACTTTCTAACTACTTAAAGTAGTATTCTTATAAAAAATTTTAATTTTTGTATTATATATGAGAAACCCTTGGAATCAAGTAAAAATTTTGTCATTTGTTCCTCAAACAGTTGTATCTCTTGCTCTGAAGTTGATCGCATTGCTCGTTCTCATATACACATATTCATCACTTGGAGTCTTGCACTATATTTAGGCTTGGTTTAGGATGACTTTTATACTGATTTTTAAATCAGTTTTTTAATATAAAAATTTTTAATCTCATGTTTTAAATCATTTATGATTATGGATGATTCTACTTCTACCTTTATATTGAGAGATTTGTAGTTCTCACTCATGCAATAAGCTTGAATTTCTCTACTATTATTCCTAAGCTTTTTTTTTAATATATCTAATATTTTATCTTGAACTTTTAGCATCCAAGATTTAAGATTTTAATTAATTTATCCTTTTGGATATTGATAAAGGTATTCAGATCACTATTGATTTAGAATAATTGATTTGTGAGTATTTTTCACAATAGCCATTAGATTCTACTCAGAGTGAGAAGAACCTTCATTGAAGTTCATTTCAAACCTTGGTTAATGTCCAACTCGCGTAGGGCTCGTTTGTTTGTCCGTTTTTACAGTTTTTTTTTTTTGTTTGGCAACAGTCAATTACCAAAAAAAATATTTGTTTGATAAAACTATTTTTCTTAACCACGTTTTGAATATCGTTGTTTTTGTTTTGTTTTTAAAAGCTTTCTAATATTAACTTTTTCTTTAGAAAACTCTGTTTTCTCAAAAAATAATTTTAAAACTATATTTTATGAAAGTTACAAAATAACCAAATCAAACCATAGTTTTTCTTAAATACGCATTTATTAGCATAATGACCCATTTTGTCACGTGGGCAACATTTTATTTTAGCTCATCGTTTTTTTGTTTTGTTTTTTGGCTGTGAGATTTCCTACTAATGTTGCTTTAGCTTTTTATTTTGTAGTTTTTTTTTTTATTTTTTTATCTTGAGAAATTTTTATTTATCTATTGGGCCATAAATACTATTACATAAATTATAATGCACGTAGTAGTTTTTTAAAACAACCTACTTTACATAACAATGCTAGAACAACTAGAGAGGGTTTTTTTTTTTTTTGATTGGGAAATTTATATACATACCACTTTATAACATCCTATTTATATATTTAATATCTTTAATTTTAATATTACATGCATATCACTCTATTTTATTTTAATATCAAATATATCACTTTTATTTATTTCTCATCACTAATATATTTCATTTATATCATTCATATTTGACATGAAAAAGAATTATGAGTTGTATGTATATAATATTGTTGCGTCCTGGAATATTCGCGGCGGTAGAGAAATATATGGTTTAACGTCTTAACATTGTACGAAAATTCAGCACACAAGCAGATAAAGAGAGGGGGTGAAATATTCATAAGAGACACCAGAGTTTTTACGTGGAAAACCCCTGAAAAGGGGGAAAAACCACGAGTCCTGGCCTAGTTTGAATGAATCCACTAGTATTTGTAGTCGATTACAAATGAGGCCCTTCCTTTGGAGAAGGCAACATATAGATTGCATTACATGGTAGGAGTTACATATACATGTTTGTTTGGTCGGAAGGACCGTAGTCGGCATGAGACCGGGGTCAGAAAGACCGTTGTCTGTTGATGGATGTCAGACGGATCGTAGTAGGCGACGGAGGTCGTAAGGACCGTAGTCGGCAGAAGACCTGGGTCAGAAAGACCGTTGTTTGGTTTGATTTAGAATAATTGATTTGCGAGTATTTTTCACAATAGCCATTAGATTCTACTCAGAGTGAGAAGAACCTTCATTGAAGTTCATTTCAAACCTTGGTTAATGTCCAACTCGCTTAGGGCTCGTTTATTTGTCCGTTTTTACAGTTTTTTTTTTTTGTTTGGCAACAGTCAATTACCAAAAAAAAATATTTGTTTGATATAACTATTTTTCTTAACCATGTTTTGCATATCTTTGTTTTTGTTTTGTTTTTAAAAACTTTTTAATATTAATTTTTACGTTAAAAAATTCCGTTCTTTCAAATAATAGTTTTAAAACTATATTTTATGAAAGTTACAAAATAACCTAGCGAAACCTTAGTTTTTCTTAAATACACATTTATTAGCATAATGACCCATTTTGTCACATCGGTAAAATGTGTTTTTTTTTTTTGCTGTGAGATTTTCTACTGATGTTGCTTTCGCTTTTTTTTTTTTAATATTTTTCTCTTGAGAAATTTTTATTTATCTATTGGGCCATAAATACTATTAAATAAATTATAATGCACGTAGTAGTTTTTTAAAACAACCTACTTTACATAAAAATGCTAGAAAAATAAGAGAGGTTTTTTTTTTTTTTTTTTTTTCGCAAGTCGACACGGTTAAAATTCGAGCGATAATCTAACTGGACATAATTAAATACCCGCCCCACACCTCGCCGCTCATTTCCATTTCCCCCGAGGCCCCGACAGCCTTCTCTGGTGGAAATAGGACGCGACCGGCGTCCCGTCCGTTCGCGATCTTTCTTCGCGGCCGCTAATTTTCTCGCCTGCTCGCGAGCGAGCTCGGCCGCTTGCGATATTATTTCGCCTGCCCTCGCCCTAAATCTTCTTCGGCCGTTGATCTCCTCGCTCAGAGCAGTTCGTGTTTTTCTGTTGCGTTCTCCCGTCAAGTGCTCCATCATCGAGCGTTGTCCAGCAGCTTCGCAGTTCCCGATCTCACGCAGAGCAGTTCGTGTTCTCCCTCCCGATATCCACTGTAAGAACTCGCCTCCGCCTCCAACTGCATCGCGATCCTTTTAAGGATTTAATGCTCTCACAGGTTTTATTAAATACGAATTTACAGGATTTGCTGATAAATCTTACCTGGGTCAAATCCTTCTTATAGCCCGACAAGCCGAATACTTTTTCACCCATCGGAACAATTTTAATTCGTCTCCTTGGTCCCTGTTTGACCCGCTATCTACTGAGAGATAGATAACCAGAGCAACCAGAGCCATGCCGGACGTTCAAACTCTCGTCAATGACTTCGTTCTCAAACTAAAGCGGCGGTAACTTTTCTTTTCTCCTTTTTTCTTCACTTACTAGTATTTATCTCCTTCTAATTTTCCTTTTGTACTGCAATTCCATCAGTAAGATCGAAGGATCGCAAGCGAGCGCAAAGCAGACAGCTGAGCTGCTGCGAAGTGTGGTCTCCCAGCAGCGGTTGCCATACATTAACCAGGCGACGGTGCTCTTAGATGCTGTGAGGGCCGTTGGAGAGCAGCTGATCGCTGCAAACCCTGTAGGTAGGTTTTTTAATGCTTTTTGCTTAACATTTCTTTCGTGTAGGTACAGTAGAAGGGAGCTAAATAAGTTTTTGGTACTAATATTTAAGAACAAATGTGATGTTAAGATTGTCCAACTATAGAGTAATCAAACATATAAGTCATACAATGAAGTTGTGCGAGAGAATGAGGGAACATAAGCTTAGAAAAATAACATCTGGAGAAACAGATTGGTTTCATGTAAAGGAGATCTAATATAAAAGCAAAATTTGTGTTAAGATAGTTAACGGAGAATAACAGAGAACAACTAAATGTTCTTCATATGATTTTTATTTGCCTTCAGAAAGCATATGATCGAGTAATATGAGAATTGATTAAGGTAACAAAGTGTGCGTCAATGATATGCTAGTGTTATTGAAGATGCGTATGATGGAGTAGTGAATAGTATTGGTGGTTGAGTGACCCAAGTGTTTTCAATTATTATAGATTTACATCAAAGATCAACATTGAGTTTATATATTTCTGCATGGGTTATGAAGATGCTTACAAACTATATTAAAAACAAAGTTTCCTGATGTTTACTTTTTTTATAGATGATATAGTTCTAAATTGTGTTACATCAACTGAAAAAATAAAAATTAGAACAATGGTGGAAATTATTATAATAAATAATTTAAGACTCATTTGAACAACAACTAAGTATATAATATGTAATTTTATTGGTATGATATTAATAATTATCATTCAATATTATTATAAGATAAAGTGTAATAGGTCTATGTCTATTAAATGAATAAAGATATACATGAGAATATGTGATAAATTCTAGATTTACGATTGGATGATTAAATGAAATTGCTTTGAGAGTTTTTTATGCGGACATCCGATGGTGGACGATATTCAAATGAAGAGTCGAAGATCGATGGCCGAGATCACTCTGTTTTATTTTAGTTTATTAATTGTATTTTGATTTAATTTTTTAATTTTCTATTTTTACCCTTTTTATTTAAGAGTCATGTCTTATGTAAGCCCAAGGGGCAAATTTGTATTTTAGTTTTTTTTAGGCTTATATATAGAGGCCCATTTCTCTTATATTAATTATGATGAAATTATAATAAAAATTTGTGTTTTACACTTGTTTTCTTTTGGGAGGAATTTAGTGAGATTCATATCGGAAGGAATCGGAGTTTTCACAGCCGCAAGATGGGTCCGGGCTCGTGGCTTGAAGTCCCTTGGAGAAGGGCAACGTATCACCCGCCAGTCTTCATAAGAGTCCAAGGCTCGCGGTTTTGTCTTCATTTTTTATTATTCTCCTTATTTTCCTAACCGCCACTTCCTCATTTTTCTTTCTCCTATTGGCTGAAAACTCCACCCAAACTCTAGGCCAAAAGACACTCAACCGCCGACCCAATTCCCTTTCCAAAGCCGTCGGCCATCATCCATCCCTTAGCTCCAAGATTCAAAATCTAGCATTCAAATCCTTTCCTAAATTAGCTCCCTTTAATTTGGAAACTATTTAAATTCATATTCAATTAAATTCATATTCAATTGAATTTGAATTTGAATTTTACTTCCTAAATGAGGAAAACTATTTTAGGGAAGTCCCTCAAATCATCAAATAATGCAATTTTGATTTTTAAATAGGAGTTGATTTAAATCCACTTTCCTATTTTAAGATTCTAAATATAGCCACCTTTAACCCCTCATATCAATCACCCATAATCATACTAGCCGCTGGCCTTACCCCCCTTCCTATTTCCTCTTTTCCTCCACTTTTCAAATTGATTATTGAAGGCATTCCTTATTCAATGCATCTTAAGTTTGGAAAGTTTTTAAATTCAAATTTAAATTAATTTTAATTTCAAATTCTTTCTTAAAATAGGATGAATTATATTAGGAGGCTTCCTTAATTCTCCAAATTTGAATTTAATTAAAGACCTGTCATAATTCCCTTTTCCTTATCTTAATAATTTAAGTTTGAAAATTCCTTTAGTCCACATTCATCGTATGTGGACACATTCAAAGTATGTGGATGCCTTCCCTTTTTCCCCTCTTTTGACCGACCCCCTCCGTTCTACATCAGTTTTGTTTGATAAGTAAATACCATGGAGGTTTAAATGTAAATTTTATAAAATCATAATTGGTTTGTATGTTTTATGAATTTGAATGTTGGGCTATAAAAAAGTTATTGGTATCTAAGTTGTATTTGTTAGAAATGAGAATGTAAAAACTAGAAATGATACATTAAAATGATTATATTAAAGGAAATATTGGAGTGCTATTGATTGAATATAAGTTGATTGAAAATGTACTTAGGTGGTTCATGCATATACAATGAAGGGTAAAAAATGTGATCACTAGATAAGTTGATTAAATTAGTATCAAAGTATTGAGATGAAAAATGGATGAATTAATGTTATAAGGATAGAAGTTGTTCAAAATGATTTATGAAGAATATGTTTAGCATCTCAGATAACACCCAACAAGAACAAATGACAAATGAGAGTATATAATGCTGATCCTAAATTGTTGGGATAAGGTTGTTGCTGTTGTTGATGATGATGCTGATGAATAAGGGTTCTTAAGTGTGTAATTGCTTGCAAGGATGAAGTATATAAATGAAGAGAGAAAGAGAAAAAAAAGCAAGGTTGCAGCATAAAAGAAAGAGAAAGGAAACCTAGCGACGAGGATAACAAGTTCTCTTTGCTGCAAACTACCTTCACCTTACTTATATATGGTTCTCATCATTGCTCTGGCTGTTCATGAGAGTACAAGGGGGAGAGAATTTGGCATTTTGTAGAATGGAAATTGAAAGAGTTGCAAATATTTGTTATAATTTGCACATTAATTGTCTTGGCATGACTATTTTTTATTGTTTTGATCTTCAAGCGTCTCTGTTAGAGCAGGGAGCCAATAGTTATATTTACTTCTTGTGATTTGAAGATCATGGGAGCGAATCACAAAGATAACCTACCTATAATGCAAGTGTAAGATTGCACACATTCATCCCTATCCTGATGCTTCTTTGGTATGAAGCCTCATGCGTTAGATACACCCCTCTTTTTAGTAAGTTATGAGGACTATTAGTGCACTGTTTCCATATTCTGATAATTGTAAATTTCAAAAACTTAATGTGAAATAATATAACAAAAATTTGATACATACTGCAATGTCGTCAACATTTGAGTGTCTAGACAAAAGCAACTAAAAGTTCATAGTAGTTTTTAAGGCTGCTTATCCCCATAAATCTACAAGTTAAAGAGTATTGAGGCATGCTGCATGTCATGCCCAATTTCAGATCACTGTGTTCGTGTTTGATCTTTGAACATCAAGGAATGTGGAAGTAGAAGTGTAAGGAGGGGGTTGGGCAGCTTATATATCCACGGTTAAAGAGAACTTTGATTGAAAAGCTTTGTAAATGAAGATAAAAGTTTCAGGTTACAGTTTTGACCATTAAAATGATGTGTGAACTATCTTCTTAGCAATCAACTTGGACATGACTAGTAAGGCATTAGTTGGTGGTGAAAACCAGAGAGAAAGAGAATAGTGTCTATGTTAAGACTGAGCAAGGATGGCATGCTGGCAGCCACTTGAGGACTATGGGTATCGTATGGAGAAAATAGATACTTAAGTCGGTAAGTAAATCAAAAGAAAGAAGGATATTTGATAGTGCAGAAACATGCAAGCTAGAAGAGTGAAGATGTTGAAATAAGATTGGAATCATTGTCAGATTAGTGCATAATGTTAAGAAATTTAATTCTGGCTAGGTCAGTGGTTTCAGTGCCACCCTTCTGCAGGATTTGTACAGATCAAGAGGAAGATTTTCAAGAATAATAATGGTGAGTAGAAAAATTGCATGACTAGTACATTATCGTGATAGATTCTGATTCAATGGTTGTTGTAGGTCTTTTCCATTCTAGATTTGTTGAAGGACAGGCTGAATTTTTCAAGAATAACAATGGAAATGCAGATTTGCCCAATTATTTGTGAGTTAATTTAAGTATTAATAATCTAATTCAATCTCATCCGTATCCGAACTATTTAGGCATGAATCCTTCTTCCCTATTCCGGCTGGGTGGTATTTTAGTTGTTAAACCCTGACTATTTTGTATTGGTTTTATGAATCCTCCATCATTCTTGTTGAGTGCTATATTTGTTATTAACTTTAATTTGCTAGTCTAGATTGTATAATTCTTAGTTTAATTAACTAATTATGGTTGCTAAAAATGTGGAGAACATGCTGAGTTTTTTGAGAAACAATGAAAATGTAGCCTTCCCAAATATTTGTGAGATAATTTAAATATTAATCATCTAGTTCATTCTCATCCTTATCCCAACTATTTAGGTATGCATCTTTCTTCCTCATTCCCATTGGGGGTTGTACATGAGTTGTTAAATCCTGATCATTTTCTATTGGTTTTATGAACCTCCCTCCATCATTCTTTTTGAGTGGTAGATTTGTTATTAACTTTAATTTGCTAGTCTAGATCAATCAACTCATAGTTCAATTAACTAAATATGGTTGCTTAAAATTTCAAAATATTGAAGGATCAAATTATGCAATGTTACTCTTAACAAACATTTTTTTTGCCCATGAAATTTTGCTTATGTTGGTTAAATTTTTATGATAAGTGTTGCCTGTTTTTTCTTTTTTTTTTTCTGGATGAATTTATACCCTTCGTGCCTTATTATTTATGTTCTTTGCGCAGAAGAACGTGATTGTTAACATGCTTTTGATTAATCACGCTCTTCACGTAATCATTGCCCTCGAGAAGTTAAGGTGAAAAGCTTTGTTGAAGTATAGAATTGGGATATTATATTTACTTGATAGAGTGAATTGCTGTTAGAAAATAGGTTTTGTGGCACAATCCAAAGTTTTTTTTGTCTGATCCCTGATTTATTTGTGCAAATACTTAGGCACTAAAAGCACAAACATTTGCGAACGCATGATCTTATATGAGTTTCCAGTATTATCTATAACACCTTAGGTGACGAGTTGTTACTGTCTTTGAAATCTTAATGACACTTTCATTAATGTGGTTTACAGAGCTTGCTGTTGGCAACATTGTGAGACGTATATTGCACATTATTAGAGAGGAAGACTTAACATCAACAGCAAGTGCAATGGAGGGATTGAGCTTATCTGCTAACAGTGATGATGATGACAACTATGAACGTGAAGACCACCAAGCTTTGTCTGCTGCCGCTGTTGCTGCTGCAGCAAGAAGCACCCTTCGGGCACCCTCATTGCAGACACTTCTTGAAGGAATACCTGAGTCTGCTTCTGCTCCTCATCCTTCATCATCAGGAGGCGACTCCGAAGGGAAGAGTAAATGTATCACCCAATCAATATAATTTTTTGTTTTTTTGGAAAAGCTCGAATCCACTTGTTTCATAGATGATATCTCCTGGATCTGATAGTAGAATCTTGGAATAATCTTAGTTTGACTGAGCTGTTTTGAATGTAGTTGATTCTGATAAAATTTTATTTTGATATATATATATATATATTAATTTTGCATTGTATTTTATTGTTACAGCAGCTGAAAGGAGTTCAAGAAGCAAGAAGCTGAAACATGATGTCATTGAGGCCATCAATGAATTGATTCAAGACATCGAGACTTGTCATGAACAAATTTCTGAACAGGCAGTGGGGCTTATTCACCAAAAGTATATCCTTTATCATTTTTCTTGGACACTTCTTTTTTACAGTGTATTAGAACAATATTAAGGTTTTCTTTTTTTAATTTTTGTTCTTCCTCTCTTTTATGTTTTCCTCTCTTCATTATATCCAATTTTTTTGACTTCTTTTCCAAGGATCAAAGAATTAGATAAACTCTAATACTTCCTCATTATAGAAGTTGCATTATTAGAATAATGAATTTTTTTTACTCAACAAAAAAAAATCTTAGCCTACTGAGGAAATAAAATGACTAATTGTAAACCTTATGAAAGTCTAATTGAACCGGGTCAAAAATTAGATGTAGATGAAGAAAGAACATAAGTGGACATGGGATATTATTAAAGATTGGTTGAAAATTTAATTTATCTATTTCACACTCATTTTGGTATCACCTTTGTAGTAAATCTCACTACTCAATTTATGCACAAACCTAATGTTTCTTACTTTCAAGCAAATTTATAGTTTTCAAATATCTTAAATGAAGTTCCAAAAAATATATTCTCTATAAAAAATATGATACTCTACAAATTGAATGTTATATTGATGTTAACTATGCCAGGTTATTAGTGGATAGGAGATCCACATCTTGATATTGTACACTTCTAAGAGAAAACCTTATAACATGTAGGAGCAAGAGTTAAATTGTTGTTTCAAGATTTAGTATTGAATTCGAATTTAGAGCGATTGCCTAAGGTATCTATGAACTTTTGTGGATCAAATTTTATTAGAAGTTTTAAAAATTAAGTAAGAAAAGCCTATGAAAAATATACTGTGACAACTAATCTATTATTAATGTTGCTTATAACCCAATACAATATTATCGAACCAAATATGTAGAAGAAAATAAATATGTCATAAAAAAGGAATTGAAAAGCGGTTTGATTTGCACTTCTTATGTCATCAAAGGACTTTTCAAAAATATTATAAGCAAACTTGATGGTAGATCTATGCCACCCAATTTGGGTGGAGCGTTCAAAGGCAAGCATGCCTAGCGGGTCCAATGGAAATGCCTATGAAGGAAAGAAGCCATGAATCAGTTATCCAAGTAAGGAAACACCTCTCTCATGGATCCATGCACACCAAAGGATGGAAGCCTTATGTTATTCACGTGGTCAAATGCATCTGACGAACCCTAAAGGGGGAGGACAACTAATGGGCATATTATTATTTTTATTTTTTTGGAGTTATTGCCTTTAGTTATTTCCAATTATTCTTGATGTAGGTTTGTATATAAATACTCATTGAAGGAATAAACAAGTCAAACTTTTCTAGCCACTTATTCTTTTGGAGATAACATTAGGAGTAATTTGGGGTAGTTATGATTGAATACACAAATGATTGTCATTGATGCCATGTTTTTTATATTAATCACCATTTTCTTGCATTGATTATTGAGGTGAGATCAGAGATTTATAATTGTATCAAGTGCATTGCAATGTTAATGACATGAGAACAACTTGAGTGCATATGTGGCCTTAAACTTCTTGTTGATCTAAAGATATAGGATATAAAAATGATGTCGGTTTTCTTTAGGTTAGGAACTAATCTATATTTGATTTTTCTTTAAGTTTTTAAATCTATGTATTTTTTACTAGTTTATTTGGTTTTAAGCAATTATGGTACATGCATTTCTTTTGTTTCTCAGCGAGGTGATATTAACTTTGGGCCGTTCAAGAACAGTTAAAGAGTTTCTCTGTGCAGCAAATGAGAAGAAACGTTCTTTTCGTGTATTTATTGCGGAAGGTGCACCAAGGTTTGTTTGTTTCTCTTGCCTCTATCCTAAAAACTAGGGGCGCAACTTGGCTATTCAATCCCTTCTACGCATATAATGCGATAATTTTTTTTTTAATTTTTTTTATTTTTCTTTTTTGTTTTCAACTTCCTCTTGTAATGTGCAGCTTTGGTCTATAACCAGGTATCTGGGACATGTTCTTGCGAAGGAGCTGGTTGCAAAAGGTTTGCAAACTACTGTCATCACAGATTCTGCCGTTTTTGCCATGATCTCTCGAGTGAACATGGTAAGCTTATGGTAACTCCGCATTGTCAACATTGATTAGAATTTTTTCAAAGTTTTATCTTATTTTATGTTCTAAAGGTGATAGTTGGTGCTCACGCCATTATGGCGAATGGTGGTGTAATAGCACCTGTCGGAATAAATATGGTTGCTCTTGCTGCTCAGAGGCATGCTGTCCCTTTTGTGGTGGTTGCTGGAAGTCACAAGGTCCCTTACTCACACTCTACTAATCATGTATTTATTCTGGATCATCTTGAATGAATTCTGTATGATAATTTGCAATTAAATTGTTCTATATACCTTTATTTTAATCTATAGATGAGATGTGATCACTTGGCACTCCAATGCTTACCTGTTTTCTTTGCATATGCATATTTAGGTTCTTTCAGTTTTTGGTTCTGTGAAATACATCATTGATTTGTTTTCCATCTGTATAAAGCTTGGCCGGTTCTCTCCCGATTTGATTCCTCTACTCATGTATGTGGGGTTGATTAACTTATCACATAAAATTTGTTAAAGTCACTAGGTTTTTTTATAGTGCGTGTGCAATTAGTGCTAAGTATAGATGGGGATGTTATATTTGTAGTTTATGTTTTTGCTCTTCATGTTGGATGAAAAGAAAGTTTGAAAATATTAATTTTGGGTGAAATTAATGGACTATTGCAACGTATATACATGGGAAAGAGGGTAATTATTAGGGATGGGTTAAATGGATATGTAGGTTTGGTAGGAACTATTAGACGTTTCATGCCCTCTATGGAATAGGAGGGTGAATTGTGATAGGTGACACCGTTTTTTTATTTTGAAGTAATTATATCATGTAAAAAAAGAAGCGTCTAAGAAAACTTGAGTTGGAGATTTTAAATTAATTTGAGAATATTTTTTTCTATTTGATAAAATTATTTTAGACTTAAAATGAGATTGATCCTATGTCAACATTTTCTACTTAGGTTATGAGAAGTCTATAAATATGTGTTAGAGGCATATAATGGAAATGTTTTTTCCTTCAATAAAATTTAATTTCTCTTTTATCTTGTTAGCACAAGTTGGTTATGTGATTCATTTGATTGATAAGTGTGGCCATCTAATTTTGGGATAAGTTATCTCTTTGTATCGGTTGAGGCTTTACTTTTGTTTACTTTGTAATTTCATTATTGGTTTATTCTTCTACGTAATTTTATATTGGCTAGTTAATTGCTCTTGATTCTCAAGTCATGCATAATTCCTTGATTTTTAGTCGTGTTTACCATGGCACCATGCCACTTTTAATGCATGTCATTTTTTTAGGTTAATATTGATGCTGCAAAACACGGAAGTATATTTGCCTCTTCCTTGTATGCTACTAATAGATTGCATAGTTTTGATAGGTATTCCTTTTTAGCTAGTAAAAAGTTAGAAGTAGTTGAGAAAATTTGCGGATGATGAGGGGTTTATGATTAATAAATATAACTTTATTCGATGCAAGGTTGATATTATAAATTAATTTTATTGGATAATTAAGTGATATTTAGTGTGATAAACTCAAATATTCTGGATTTATTGTACAAAATAATTGTTTATAAACGAGGACATAATTCATAGAGTTAAAGTTGGATGATTTAGATGAGAAGTGCTTTTTTGTTGAGTGGCTTGACTCTTAGAGATAGGATAGGAAATGAGCATATACGTGAAAAGGTTGGAGTAGCTCCAGTGGAAGATAAGATTAGAGAGAGTCGCCTTAGATGGTTTGGTCACATAAAACGGCGGCTTGCGATGACCCGGTTAATTTGGTCACATTAAACGGAAGCCTTCTGATGACCCGGTTAGGAAAGTTGAGGTATTAGATTTGACTTTTGTTAAGAAACGTAGAGGTAAACCTAAAAATACTTGGTTAGAAAATATTAGAAATGATCTTTCTTTATTAGATTTAAATGAGAATTTGACTTTTAACCTGACACAATGGCGAAAAGTATTCATGTAGCCAACCCCACGTAGTGGGACAAAAGCTTGATGTTGTTGTTGTTGTTGATAAGACTAGAGAGGGTGTTGAAGTAAAACTTGAATTATAGAGGTCAACGTTAAAGTCTAAAGTTTTTGTTTGAGTAGATTTAAAATCGAATACATGGAATATAATTTTAGTAGTATCAGATCTAGTGGGGGAGTGTGACTTTGGGTGATCAAGTTATTAGTAAGAATACACGTTTTAGATATCTTGAGTCTATTGTGCAAAACGGTATAATAGATGGGGATTTATTATTAGAATTCAAGTTGGATGGTTAAAGTTGATGAATGCTTAGGGCCTATTGTATGATAGAAAAGTAACTCTCAAACTTAAGGAGAAATTCTATAAGATGGTAGTGAAACTTGCAATGTTTATGACGTAGAATGTTGGTCATTAAAAGAGAAGCAAAAAATCAAATTAAGTGTTGCAAAGAATAGGATGCTTAGGTGGATGAGTAGCTTGACACTTAGAGATAGAATGCGAAATGATTATACACGTGAATAGGTTGAAGTAGTTCCAATGGAAGATAAGGTTAGAGAGAGTTTCCTTAGATAGTTTAGTCACATAAAACGTCATCCTTCCAATGGTTCGGTTAGGAGAGTAGATGTATTAGATTTAGCCTATGTTAAAAAACGTAGAGAGAACATTTTTTTTATTAGATTTAAATGAGAATTTGTCTCTTAATAGGACATAATGGTGAAAAGAGATTCATGTACCTGACCCTACATAGTAGGATAAAAGGCTTGATGTTGTTGTTGCAATTAGGGTGGTTGTGCTAGATGAATCCAACTGTGGGTGACGAATAAATGATTGACAGCCATGTTATATGTAACAAAAATGAAAATGGTTGATGTAAGGCGTCTTAGGATCTAGGAATTTTTATCTAGATATGGAAGGCATGCAATGCAGCAAAAAATGGCGCACACGCATAAAAATTAGTAAGACAGAAGCTATTAATCTAAAGCAATTATTTACTACTCTTGATGAAAACTAAAAAAATGATTAAGTTCTATTTAGATGAATGATCTTTAGCCTTCTACTCAAAACTTGCCATGCATACTGAAATTTTATGTTATTGAGAGAAAGTTATATATTTCAGTAAATTTGAGTAAATATAGTTTCACTTTCAACCAATAACAAAAAACATAGGAAGATGGGTCTTAATAAACCATTATATTTTTAAATTGGAAGTTTTCATTCCAAATCATTTGATGTCTTCATATAATATCATTTGTATTATATTTAATTTCTTAAAGGTTTTTATAAGAAATATTTAGGGTCTAGATGAAATATTATCTTATCTTTCAATTCTGGCATGCATGTGACAACTTCAAACTTCAGTAGACTTATAATGTTAATAGTTCAATGTAAATTCTTTTGGATATTCTCATACAAAACATGCATATGGCAAATGAATGGTGCAAAATGAAATTATGCATGCTTGAAGTTTAAAATGCTACTCTATTTACTAATGAATATGCTATAACTAATTCTAAGTGTCGAAGGAAATGAAAACATAAAGTTTATATTTATCAAGTTTCATCATGTTTTCTTATAATAACTAGCAATCCTAAAAAATATGTTCGCTTTTAAGAGAGATGTTCATGATATGGATGAACCATCTTTAAAAAAAAAATAGTCCAAGTGGTTTAATGATTAATCTTGATAAGTTATATATCTATATGGACTTGTGAATTTCATATTTTCTTAAAAGATGTTATCATACAAAAAATCTATTGTATGTTTATGCAGTCTAATTTTCTTAAGAAAGTTCTTTTTATGATTTTGTTAGTCAAGGAACAAAAGAATTATTATATGTTATATTGTTAAAAGTAGAGAAAATTTTGACAGATACTTCATTAGCAGTTATGTCTTATTATGTTCAATTGGTTTATCAACTTTGGTATGGATGATTTGCTAAATTCTAAAAATAGTGATAAATTAAGATTTTATATAATGTTTAGGTTCGAAACTTACCCTCATGCTCAAATTTAGTTTCATATTCAAATTTTCTCTTTTGCTCAACTTTATGTTTTTATTTATAAATATGTCCTAGTACAAACTCTGATATAGAATCATATTATAATTATAACTTTTTTTTTCGCATGTAATATATCATTTAAAGAATATTTATGAACTACTTTTTTTTTCAAAACTTAATGATCTTTCATACTAGATAGTAGATACTTGTATTAATATGCGATTGATATGCCTTGTATGAGATTCAACTTTTTTATTTCTTAGAAATGTTAAGCTCTAATGAAGTAGTTCTAAACTTAGAATTATGATATTTCTTAAATTCTTAAGCTCTGTATAAACTCTTATTTATTGTGTTTTGTGAATTTTATTTTAATTCATGCTTGATTTTTTTGCTTAAGATCTTTCAGGAAATATGTATTGATTTCATAATAATATCTAGTCAAATAATATTTGAATAAAAGATCTTTAAACTTAAAACATTTAAACATGCTAGAGTTACATTGTGTGAAGTTCTTAAATTGACTACGCAATTGATTTCTTTAATCAATGAATGCCATATTTTTCCTTAAGTTTATGCATATTAGCTCTAGCTGCTTTTATTATAACAACAACACTTAGCCTAAAGTATTAAGCAAATTTTAACTCTTTGGGAATCAAATATGTCATGCCTTTCAGAAGATTTTTTTAAGTTATAGGTCGAATTTTAAAATATCTCATGATATCTCCCATCTAAAGTGGAATATAAAAACATGTAATAGTCATGTTGAAATTATCTAGGATCATTGGTATATTGATTTTTCTTAAATTGCATCATTTTGTTGTGTTGTTATTTATCCCTGATATTATATTAACATGCATCTAAAAGACTATATAACATTAAACTCTGATGTCAAATATGACATAGAAAGTCGATATAGAATTTCTAAAGCAAATCTAATATCAGATGTGGAAAATAATGTTGTGAAGATATAAAATTCTTAGGGCACATACTAATAAATTTTGATAGGTATTTACTACTTTTGTTGAAAATTAAAAATATGAAGAAAATCAATTTAGATGATAACTCAATAGCCTTTTGCTAGAGAATGCTTAGTAGTTAGTAATTTAGAATGAAAAAAAAAAAACATAATGAATTGAAATTATGTAGTATTTTAGGGGTTTAAACAACTTGATACATGTGAGATTTGAGTTTATTTCTATATTTTCCTGTCTTGTTTTGCTTTTAATCTTTTTATATTTTCTTCATTTACTCTTTTTTGGGCATAAATACATGTTTATATGTATTTTGATGTGGATGCTTTTTTTTCTTGATATCTATTTGGCAGCTATGCCCCTTGTATCCGCATAATCCGGAGGTTTTACTAAATGATTTCAAAAGCCCATCTGATTTGTTGGATTTTGGGGAGTTCTCAGATTGTATGGATTTTAGCACGTCTGGAGGTTCTCCACGTCTTCATGTTGTAAATCCTGCTTTTGATTTCATTCCTTCAAAGCTTGTGAGCCTTTTCATCACTGATACGTAAGTTCTCTCTTTTTCTTGATGGCATTTATTATGCGTTTTCTTGTTTCCTTAAGTATGTTTGCAAATTGAGTTAATGCTTTTATATCCTTTGTTATAATTCTACGTATATGCAATGTCAGAAGCGAATAGTATCGTCTTATGTTGCAATGCCTAGATAAGCACAGTTATATGAGCTTTTTTTTATTGCAATATTGTTGAATATTTTAAATGGTAAAATTTGCTTTTGATTATGTATGACATTCCATGAGTCATTAATCAGTATTCCATGAGTTATTAATCAGTATTTCTTATGATATTGTGTGTAGCATGCTTATAAATTATCCTTTTGACAACATATGATGAAAGGCCCTGTACTTTTGATTCAATTTTGTCAATGTGCTCAACATTATTCTAAATAGGATTTTTTTCAGTGTTATAATAGAGATTAACACTGTCGTTATCAAGTCTCAAGTCATGGATGAGAAAAGTGGAGAGTTGCATTAGGTAGTCGACAACCAGCGTAAAACTTGTCGAATAATCATGACATGAATCCATTAATACATTGTGTTAATCTATGGCGTTCCCTGTAAGCGACGCGTTGTATGGCATGAATACTGTGAAAAGTGAGCAAGTTCCGCTGCATCGATGCCCGGGTGCAGTGTTAAATAAGTCAAGGGTTCCCACATGATGGACGGATGTGAGCAAATAAGCTAGTCCATGAAATTAAAATTATCATAGGAACTTATAATATAAGTTCTCTTATAGGTAAATTAATGGAATTAATAAATAATATGATCCATAGGAAGATAAATATTCTTTGCATTCTAGAAACTAAATGGATCGGAGAGAAGACTAAGGATATTAATAGTTGATGATTTAAACTATGACATTATGGTAAGAGTCGTACTAGAAATGATGTAGGCGTGATTATAAATAAGAGTTTGAAGAATAATGTTGTAAAAATTAATAAAATTGGTAATAAAATTATAGCTTTAAAGATTGTTGTTGATGCTAAGATTATTAATATTATAAGTACTTCTGCTCCTCAAGTAAATTTGAATATGTATTCAAAATTAAAATTTTGAAATGACCTAAAATAATTAATATAAAATATACCTCTCGAAGAAAGAGTTTTTATTGGAGGAGAGAACCCGAACCCGACCCGTTTATCAAACGGGTTGGGTCCAATCCGGATTTTTCGGGTCGGGTTGTCGTGTCGTGTCAAATATTGACACCCCTAGATGTAAATGGACATGTTGGTAGAGAGGTAAATGATTTTAAAAGCATTCATGGTGGCTATGGCTTTGGAGCGACTAATAAAGGTGGTAAGATCATATTAGATTTTTTTTAGCTATTGAACCTGATGATATTCCAATAGAGGTGTGGAAATGTTTAGGAGATGAATGAATTTCATAGCTTACTAAACTTTTTAATATTATTTTGAAAACTAAAAAGATGTCAGATGAGTGGAGAATGGGTGTATTGATTCCTATTTCTAAGAATAAAGGAGATGCACAAGATTGTGCGAAGTATAAAGGAATTAAGTTAATGTGTCATACTTTAAAACTATGGGAGAGAGTTATGGAGCATAGGTTGTGGCGTGACACTAATATTTCTCAAAATTAATTTGGATTCATGCTAGGTAGGTTTACTATGGAAGCTAGACATTAATTGAGAGGTTTGATGGAGAAGTATAGAGAGAATAATGAGGATCTATATATGATTTTTATTGATTTAGAGAAAGCATATGATAAAGTTTCAAGAGAAGTGCTAGGATAGGTTTACTATTGACCCCTATATGCAAAAACACGCAAAAGGGCAAAAATTGTCTTGTGACACTTTACTAGAAGGGTCAAACAACCTCCAATCGCCAAACGAATTGTGCCGTTGCGATTAGAGCGTCGAATTCATTTAAGAGAAAACCCCTCGCAAGCAAATCGAACGAGATCGTTCAAAACAGACGACTGACATCCGAAATTTATGCATGACGTTAACCAAAAGACGTCTGATCGTAAAATGGACTTCGTGGTTGCTTTCATAACATTGTCAATACCCAAAAATGACTATCAATTTGTTCAATTAAAACGACAGGAAAATCAGCGCGGATCCTGAGGCAAATGATGCGTAAATCAATGAAATTGACGAGCGACGTCGACCATACAAGCGATGTTGCCAAGACGACTTCTGATCGCAAAATGGACGGCTTCGTTGTGATCAGAACATCAACAATACCCAAAATCAATTATAATTTCATCCAATGAAAATCGCACACCTAAATTGACATGAATTTTGAGATGATTGCGCCCAAATTGAGGAAGTATGCCTGAATCGAGGTGATTTTGATGGATCGACTCATTTCTGTCATCTCATAATATAAGAATGATAGTAATAACAGAATATTATTAGTATCATCATTATACTTTCCAATTTAATTAATAACTTTTTTAATTAAATCAAATCAACTCAATAAAATGACTTTTCTTGTATCCCGTCGAAGGATCTTCGCATATCTTGCAAGATCCCTGCATTCGGCGCTGACGATGCAACCACCTCCCGTAAATCCTGCAAAAGACAGTTCTTCTCGATGGGATCCACAGCTTCGTTAAAACGAGACAGATCGTTTTTGTGGCTTCTCCACGTTCAAACAAAGAAATCCCCTACTGTGTGCTTACCTTCTCACGACCTCTAACCGAGCACACAACCCTTCCTCTCCCATTTGCTTTTTGTAAATTTGGTTGTAAAAAAAAAATACAGTTTCCTCTCCCATCCAAAACCAAATCCTACAGCCTCCCGCTCTACCAAATTCCACACCCATCTCTTCTTCTGGTCGTGAAAGCAACTGCCGATCTCACCTAGTTGATCCACCTCCAAGGCCCAAATTCCGAATTCCCCAAGCTCCCAATCGCGCTTTGCCTGTTTCCCACAAGCTGAACTCTTTCCTTCTGTTGTCCAGCACTTCAATTCCCTCATCCGACTTCAACTCCTGTAGGAAAACCTCCTAACGGACACCCCATCTACTTCGTCTCTCTCTACCTCCCTCATTCTTAGTAGCCGAGAGCAACACAGCCGCTGCCTTTGCTCTTTTCACACAAAATCTGAACTTCACAACCCATTTACTCCGATGATGGCCTTGTTGAATGTAAATCTCAACCGGGTATTGGAGAAGACGATTGAACAAACCTAATATCTATATAGAAACTTACCAATGACCATCATTGCTGATGCGAGCAAAAATCTCTGGGGAGAGGGCCCCCAAGATTCTTGATCACCTCAAAAAACACAAGAGACACTTAGCTAAGTAATAGGAAGAACAAACTCTTACATTTCATATAAAAAGACACTTACAAACTTTAAAACAAACTCAAGCGACTCAAACAAGACACCTTACAACTCTTACAAACGACACAAATAAAAAAAAGACCTAAACCTGCTTTCTAAGAAACGAATGATACAATGTAGTGGATACTTGCCGAGAGACGAAAGAGATTAGAAGCCGAGAAGAAGGGTGGAAAGAACTCGCAAGTCTCCCCAAGAGATAGAAGAAGAAGAAGAAGCTCTCGAGCTCTTCCAAGAAAATCCGCAGATTTCTTTGTCAAAAATTCTCTTTTTTCATTCTCTAAAACATTCCAAAACATCTCGTATTTATAGACATGAGAGGGGAATACAAACAGCCCCAAAAACCTTACACATTCTATATTAAATGAGGAAGATGAAAAGCCAACAACCATTCTAGGAAACAAAGCACCAAAGCCACGGGAAACAACCCAGCCAGGGACCCGAAGAGGCAGCTGCGGAAACCCAAGAGGCCTGCACGGAACCGAGGTACCAAAGCACGGGAAAGGCCACAGAG